ATTAAGTGCTATAAGTGTACAGAAGTCCTAAGTGTTCTCTCAGCTGAGCCCTTGTTGATAGCAAAGTTGAGGTGTTTAGTTGCTTGCAGCAGTCCTGGTCAAAATTTAAAATTTTGGGAATTTTGCAGCATGACGTAAGACAAAGGTAACTACCAGTCAATCTTTGGCTTGTAGATTTCTGAAAAGGTAAGGGAAAATAGGAATGAAGTGAGATCTGCCTCAGACCTGGAGAATTTCAGATGCTTTATCTGATTAGCTGTCCAGGTAAACACACATGTAGTCTCAAAACCCCACTAGACCTACCGTATCAAGGAAGATGCACTTAATTTCCCCCTGTGGTCCATTGAGGGCCCATTTAAAGGTGTGTAGCTCCTAATAGTCATGTCTCACTTTTTCTTGACCAATGTTTCTTTAAAGCTGCAGTTCCCTTCCTACACTAGAATATCCCCAGAAAGCCAGACTGCTTAAAAGGCTAGCATCTGTGCTTCACGTAGAGCAGGGGTGTGCAAGAGGTGGCTAACAGGCCAGAGGATCCAGGCCACAGCTGCCTCGCCAGCACCTTTATTATACAGCAGCTGCTTTAAACAGCAGGCTGCTAATTGCTATGCAGTCAGCACAAGGAGGAGAAAGCTTCATGTGCTGTCCCTGCCAAGCAAAATCCGCCAGCTCCCATTGATCACTTTCTGGCCAATAGAAGCTGAGTAACTTTGCTGAAGGCAGGGGCAGTGAATGAAGCCTCTTCATTCACTCATCCCCTCTCAGTCCCTGTGCTGGAACAGAGCCACTAGGAGCAGCTGCCCAGCACACAGGTAGGGAGTGTGCAGAGCTGCTGGTTGGGAGCCACCTAAGTAAGTGCCTCCTAGCCAGAGCCTGTCTCTGGCACCCCACCCTGTCTCTGCCCTGGGCTACCACCCAAACTCTCTGTATCTCCTCTCCCACCTCCTCCAGGTCACTATTCCCTCCCAGACCCTGTACCCCCTTCTGTACCCTTCCCCTAGGCCAGAATCCTTTCCTGCACACATACACCTCCCTGACCCTGCACCCCATTCCCCTACCACACCTCACCACCCAAACCCTCTGCACTCCTCCCAGGTCACCACTCCCTCCCTGACCCAGCACCCCCTCCTACCACTCCTTCTCCAGGCCAGAATCCTCTTCTGCACCCATAACCCCTCCTGAACCCTTTATCTCAAGCCCCCTCCTTCACCCAACATCCCTCAGACCCTACACTCCCTCCTACACCCCACTTCTCTATCCCAAGCTCCTTTTTATACCCCATCTGCTGTCCCAGACCCTGTGCCTCCCTCTGCAGAAGTGCGACCCTTGACCACTTACCAAAATCTTGGTAAGTTTAAAAATTATTGCCCACTCTTGTCTTAGATTATGCCTAGTGTATTGCTCACAATTATGAGTTACCACAGAGCTCTTTCTAAGCAAGCACAATTAAGGTGCAAGCAGTAGAGGGAGAATGTTAAAAAAAAACCCTGCATGCTAAAAAGTTTAACAGAGGCCACCCCCACTCCTACATCAGGCTCTTGTAGATGCCAGTCTTTCAAATCCCACAACTGGGTTCCCTTTGCTGCTACAGGTTTGTAAGTGTGTAAGATTCAGAATCTGAACCAGAATGGGCAGTTTAGCCATTTTTTTTTAAATACTGTTAAGGCCTTTGATCGCCCATGTCCAGAAACAGATAATCAGACAATTACTGACTCCTCTGTGTGTAGCTTCAAAAAGATGAGTTTTTGCATAACCAGAGGTAAGAAATTTGTTTTTGCCTAATATCTAAAGCAAGGTTATCTTGTTTACAGTTATTCCTTACTTCATTCTTGACTGGTACCCTTTCAATATAGTTCTTTGAAATCCCAGGATTCATATCATACTTTCCCTCTCGCCCCCAAAAGTTACATGCAATCCAAGAGCACAATAACACATTTGCATTTAATATAATGAAGCCCCATCCATAAATCCAAGTCCATAAGATCTCTTAAGAATATGGCATACTTGTTACAATGCACACTTAAATGCGAAACTGTGCTATACACAGTTTCCTATTTTTCAAACTCAGCAAAAATACAGCCAAAGATAAATATTTTTTGATGAGCTTCCATATCTCAATCACTTCTGATTTAACAATTCTAGGCCATTAGGTAACAGATACATTCTTCAGCTAACAGGATTCAATACCAGTTACTACATTCCAGGAGTTGTTCAAGGAAGAGTTGTCCCACTGTAGTCAGACTATACTGGTAAGATAGTCTCAAAACATGATATTCAATTTTTTGCTGTCATCTCTCCAGATCTTTCTGTTGAACAGAGTAAAAAACTCCTAATCACAAGAACATAAGAGCTGCCGCACAAGCCCATTTCTTGGCTAGAAATGGTCCATCTGACTATCCTATCTCCAGCAGTCACCCATACTAGAGCTTAAGGGGGGGAAATGTACAGAACAGGGCAGTTATGAAGTGATCCAACTCTATCTTCTGGTACAGGCTTCAGGTTGCTCTGAACTTGGGGCTGCCTCCTTGTATGGAAGCTGCTCCATACCCTTGATCATCTCTGTTGCTGTTCTCTTTATCTTTTCCAATTATGATACACCTTTTATTTTGAAACAGAGTGACCCAAAAATGCACTCTGTAGTCAAGGTATGGGTATACAGTGAATTTATATAGTGGCATTAGGATAATTTCTGTCTTTTCTATACCTTTCCTAATATTTCCTAACACACTGCTGCTGAGCATTAAACAGACTATTTCAGAGAACTATTCACCCTGACCCCAAAATCTTTTAGCTGGAAATAACTAATTTAGAACCCATCACTGTGTATGTAGAGTTGGGATTATTTTTTCCCCAACATGCACTACCCATTGCATTCATAAATATTGAATTTCATTTGCCATTTTGCTGCCCACTCTCCCTCTAACTTCTCCCAGTCTGCTTTGGATTGAACTATCGTGAATAATTTTGCATTGTTTGTAAACTTTGCTGCTTCACTGCTTGTCCCCTTTCCATATCATTAACTCATATGATGAAAACCACAGGTCATACTACATATTCCTGGGGTATCCTGCTGTTCACCTCTTCTCTGTTATACCTTTCAATCAGTTTCTAATCCATGTGAGAAGCATTCCTCTTATCCCATGGCTACATTAGTTTATTTAAAAGCCTGAAAGATCTTGTCCAAAGTTTTCTGAAGATCCAAGCACATTACGTCTACAAGATAATGCTTAAACTTTGATGACTCTTCTGCAACAAATCATGTTAATCTATAGGTCTAATAATTCTGTTCTGTAGTAGAATTGCTTCCACTTTGCCAGATGTAGACAGACTCACTGGTCTGTGATTTCCAGAATGTCTCTGGCACAGGGGCTGAGTTCAACCTGCAGTAGCAAGTATGTAACCTCTGTGGTTCAGGATACTCTGGCCCAGCAACACCCAGGCTACGTCTACACTGGCCCCTTTTCCGGAAGGGGCATGTAAATTTCACCAGTCGTCGTAGGGAAAACCGCGGGGGATTTAAATATCCCCCACGGCATTTAAATAAAAATGTCAAAGTAGGAATAAGACCCTCCGGAAAAGGGCACTTTTTCCGGAGGATCGGGGCCAGTGTAGACGCTCTTTTCCGGCTTTTTTAAAAGCCGGAAAAAAGCGGCGGACATTTTTATTTAAATGCCGCAGGGGATATTTAAATCCCCCGCGGATTTCCCTACGACGACTGGTGAAATTTACATGCCCCTTCCGGAAAAGGGGCCAGTGTAGACGTAGCCCCAAGGTTTGGAAAGACCACAGATGTTGTGGGACCAGGGAGCCCCAGCAGCATAGGTTGCTGGCAGCGCAGAGCAGAGCCTGTCAATGGGGCCAGCGGATTGCATGGGGTACCAGAGCTCTCAGTCAGTGGGGTAGAGAAGCTGGGGGGAGGAGTGAGCTTGCAGGGCAGCAGAGCCTACAGCCTGCAGAGCTGTTGGGAGCACCAGTGGGGCGGCCGTGAACTCTAGGAGGGTGGCAAGGCGACAGTTCACAGGGTGGGGAGGCTGGGAGAGGAGCCCAGCAGGCAGGCTGGCACCCCACCCTCTCCCAGGCCTCCCTTGGTCCAGCAAACTCCCTTGTCTGAGACTGGTCAGGTCCTGAGGGTTCTGGACTAGGGAGGACCAACCTGTAGTTCTGAAGAAACTCAAATAGTAAATTTCAGAATTCTTGGGTAAATACTATCTGGTCCTGGTGACTTACAGTTTAATTAGCTTATTCTAAAACATTTACAACTGACAGAATTTGGAACATTACTTCACATTTGTTGCTCCCTCCTCCCTCAATAGCTCTGATGTGGGTATCATCTGCATTTGCTGCAGTGAAGACTGTTGCGAAGAGTTAAGTTAGATTCTCTGCAATGGCCTTGTCTTCCTTGAGTGCTCCTTTAACACCTCTGTCAACCATTGGTCCCACTGCCTGCTTCACAGATTTCCTGCTTCAACTGCTGTTAAATAATTTTACTGTAAATTTTTGCCTTAATGGAAGAATACCTAGGCTTCTCTTGGAAGAATGCCTAATCCTGCCACTGAATGTGGGCAGCAAAAACCGTATTGGTAGTGAGATTTTAAGACTTCACAAATGACAGTACATTAACAGCATTGTTGATGTATACTCAGATTTTGGCTTCATTACTGCATTTAGAGAGATTTATTCTTAAAAAAAAAAGCTTAATGTATTAAATATTTAAAAATAGTAGAATTTTGTAGTTTTCAAAATCTGTTTTCCAGGCACAGAGCAGAGAATAGGAATAGCAGAAAGTAGGATACTTTTTCAAAACACTAATCTACAAGGTTTCTTTATTGAATCGTGCAATATGACCATAACAGGAGATCGGAAATGTACTACCAGATTTTCCATAGACAGTTGTTACGAAGTCTCTATTAACTCTATTCAGGTTGCCAAATGCACTTTAAAGAACTGAATTAAAGTATTAAAATGATGAAAGGCAACTAATTTTTTTTATTTTTTCGAAACAGATACTACCATACAGACGAGAAACATTAAGAACCAGGAGAAGTGCCTTGGAAACCAACAGGGAAATAGAACTTAAACACTTAAATACCTTTATAACATATTTCATTGTGAACAAGAGGATTTATTTTTGCAGATTGACAGACTATTTCCCATAATTCTTCTAACATGTGTTTTGTATGTTTTGAACAGTTTGCAGATCTACATTATTTACAATAGTATAACTGCCAATAGTATTTACTGTTCCATACTTAAAAGTACACTCCACATCAGGTGTGTAGTGCTGCCAAAAATTACATGGACATATACCCTTCAAGAAATAAATGTACTGTTGCTGAATTCTGAGACTTGGAGGGATGTTTTTATATATCCAGAACTCTTACATCTACTCCACTGCAGCGGTTTTCACTTGATATTCTTCATGCTTATGCAATTAAGAGTTTGGTTAAAACAAACTTATTTACAAATTTCAATGTTAGAAGGGTCACATTGTACCCTTGGAGTACAAGTTACAAATTGCATGACAAATACATAAGATAATACCAAGTGAACATGTTTTCTTGAGTCAGAGGAGTGTGGATTTTGTATACACACAATTTACCATTGGTTTTCTGTTCAATAAATGTATAAACATTCCAGCCAACGTGCAATATGTAAATACTGTAAATAACAAACATGACTAATAAAGTGTTTGATATAGTACATGATCTTCAATGTGTATTCATTAAATGTCTCTTTAGAATACTGGCTTTCAGAAACTGGAATTGATTTCACATGGTTGCTCAACATTTCAAAGCAAATTAATCTGTAAATTATATTAAAACCTAATGCAAAATTATAGCAGGAACATAACTTTTGAAAAGGCTAATCAAAGACTGCATGAGGAGGGAGGTCTCACTATGCATCTTAATTTTCTCTCACCTATGCAATCCAGCTGATGTATGTCATATTACATTTATGACCAAAAAAATCCAAACCAAACCCCAAGCACTATGGAGCATTTCTAACAAACGCACTACAGTCTCATAAGTTTTGACACTTTCTTTCAAAGCAGCATCTATTTTATTGAAGTGCTTTAAATCATATTAGACTGTATAAGTGTAGAACTTTTGAGTATGAAACATGAAAATGGGGCTAGGATTTTCAGTTTCATAGAATTTAAGGCCAGAAGAACCCAGAAATCATCATTTGACCTGCATACCTCACACTATTATATACCATCCAAATACGCTATGTTGAGTGCCATGAATTCAATTAAACTAAAGAATTTTAGACCTCAATAGACTTAACTACGTGGCACAAGCAATTAATAGGAGAAACCACAATGCCACTGCTGCCATGTCAGAAAACTGATTAGGTGAGATATTCAGATTACCCTAGCAGGTAAACCATACCTCAAGATGCAAAGGACAATGTGAAGCCCTGAAGGTTCCTGCCAATCTGATTTAGGGCAAATTTTTATGATCCAAGTTTTGTGATCAGTTATACCCTAGGCACCTGAAGATAAAATCCTCTTAAATGACTGGATTGTGTATGTACCCATTCCAAGTGCTTCTCCATTTTAACTAGTGATCTGTCTCTAGTTGTAACAGATATCTGATGCTTCATTACCCGTGACAATCTGAAGCATGAGATCAGATTATAATCATTATCAAACACAGAGTGAAAGTGTTACAAGCAAGTTCTCCTTAAGGTCATAGCTTCCAGGGCCAGATGGCATAACCATAACTGACACCCCAAGCCTGCAGAACTCCCAGAAACTGACTTCAAACATACCTTTCTGGGGGGAAAAAAAAAAAAGTTTTTCAAGGCTCCAAACAGTGAATCCATCACCTTTACTAACACTTCCCCCTTAAATGTATATTCCCAATCAGTTATACTTTCAGCTGTTTTAAACTTTGGAAGACCGGCCCTTTGAAACTCCAAATATACACATTATTGGTTGACTATGCAATTTACCAAACTTGTAATTAAGTCTTTGTCTAATAGTCATCCTTTGTTGGGAACAGGACTTTGCATTTACACATCTTCATCTTTTTTTTGTTTTGTTTTAGACTCCAAGGTAAAGTTTTGTTGTTGGCCACATAAGATACAAGCAAATATCCCATAGTATCCTCTAGTGAAAGTGTTTAGGGCCCTATCTCTCATCAAACTCCAAAAGGATTTGAGCACCTAACTACCTCAGTCTTCTTTTTGTAAGAGAAATCCATACTATGTGATTTATGCCAGTGGCTCAATCTTTCCAGACTATTGTACCTCTTTCAGGAGTCTGATTTGTCTTGCATGCCCCAAAATTTCACCTCACACAAACTATTTGCTACAAAATCTAATACAAAAAAGTGTGTATCAGCACATTACTGAACAATTGCTCACTTTATTTTTACAATTACAAATTAAAATATAAATTGCTCAGATTTCTCTCTAGAGGATTAACTAGAGGATAATAAACAAGTCATTGTATAACTTTTTAGTTTGTACTGGAGCAGCTCGAGAAGAGCTGCCGGCAACTGGCACCCTAGGTGGAACCCCCCACCTCCATAGCCCTCAATAGTGTGACATCATTATTGGGTGCCATGTTAAACGCAGTGCCCTAGGCAACTGCCAAGGTTGCCTACATCCACGGGCCGCCCCTGAGTTTGTACTAACTTCACTAATGCTTTTTATGTAGTCGGTTATAAAACTAGGCAAATATATAGGTGAGTTGATGTTCACCTTGGAAGTCATCTACATACCAGCAGGATACACATACTTCTGGTTGAGAGCCACTGAGGTATGTGACCTCATGACACATTAACATGTCAGCTGACCAACATTTCTTAATAGATTTATAACAAAAAATTTCAGCTGGGAGAATAATGGGCTCCTACACAATTCATTTAGGGCCAGATCTACAAAGCAACCCAAGTGTCAGTTTTAGGAGCTACTGCAATCCACAAAAACTCTGGGTGGCTGCTGCCTAGCCCTGTAGATGTGAAAACTTTTTTTGATTCCTAAAGCTGTTCTGTACAAGTTTCTGTTGTGTAGAAGTCCATCATTCTAGATACCTATGTTTCTGGGCATGTTGCTTCAATCTAGTTGAAGGGTATGCTTGTGTTCATTTTAAACAAAATGTGATTTAGAAAGTATGTATGCATAAAGAAGCATGCTGTGGCTCACCACCCTAGGAACATTCTAGAAAAGGACAAGGGGAGGGAGGTGAGCTCAACATGTAGAGTGGAGAAGTATAAGCATGTGATGAACAAATCCATATATGGAAAGGTTAAATATGATTGGCCAGAGGTTTGTGTTATGTAACTTGTTTTGTAACTGCCATGTGTTATAAAATAGCCAGGGGAAGGGCTCCTTGCTCCAGGCACTCTGGCTGATTTTTGTATTAGGGACTCCCTTTGTGCACACTGAATAAAGTCTTGTTGAACTGAAGAAAGTATAGAAGACCCTTGATTCTGCGCCCGGCCTCTTACTCATTTGGTGGTTATTGAGTACCACAAAATCCCAACATAGTCTAGGCCTTCATATACAAGTCTCATGGCTAAGCCTCAGACTAATCCACAAACCTGGGGAGAATCTATCTTGCTAGGTGACCTTAGAGACTGCTTAATGCCAAACAAAATGGGGGAGGGAGGAAACCTCCCTTAAAACCTTTAGCCTGGGGGTTATATACTCAGAATTTAATCCTTCAGTTGCTTTCCTTGATGAGAAGTGATGTCAGCCGGAGCTCCCTACTTGTCTGATAAGTGCCCTAACCCCTGAAGTAACACTCGTGTGCATCTCAAGCTCGTTCCAATTGAATAATTGAATAATTAAAATATTAATGGGCCAGAGAATCACTGTGCAGTGCAGTGCTTAGAGCATTGTAACCAGATTGACTCATCACTGCTGCCTTTCCTGCTGGTCACACTAGGAATTAGGTCTGCTTGGAGTACACTGCCTTCTGGTTGCTGACTTGCCCATTATTGCTCTACTCTGCCGCTGTCTCCACCCTCTGGTGATTGACCTGCATTTCTCCCTGGACCGTGGTGTCCTCTTCAGTGCCTACTACTCAATTCTCCCCCATTTCCAGAGGTAACAGCAGTCCTCAGTTCTTACACCTGCCACCATGGCCAAGTGCAGCCCCAAAGTCTAGCCCCTGGCCTCATGTGCATAGGATGCAAGAGGGAAAGGGGGGGACCCAAGTCCATCCACTACTCTGGATCCCAATCCAGGAGTCTTCTGGCAGCAGCTTTGTCCTGCCTTCCTTCATTTCCCTTGACTGCTTTCATTCCCTGGGCCACTTCCCCGTGATCCTTGAACCATCTTGGCCCTTGTCTCAAGGAACACAGCCTGGGAGGTATCAGGCTGGAGCTTCTCTGACTCCCCTAAGCCTGCCCAGCACTGTTCTGTACAAGGTACTTCCTTTCTGCAGGGAGCTAGTCCATCATCCTTGGTGGTCAAGGCAAGAGTGAGCTCCCCATAGCTCTGCAGCCTTTTATAGGACCCAGCCTGGCCCTAAGTGGCAATCCTTAGCTTCACCCTGATTGGCTAGGGTTATACAGGCCCCTCCGGCCTGCTTTTAACCCTCTCTCCTGGAGTGGCAGGCACTCAGAGAGGATACTGGCTAAATCTAACTATATCTTTCCATCTACTTAAGGTGTGCCACTGTGGATTAAAAAAAAGTTAGAGGAAATGGCGCATTTGTCCATGTGGCATAATGTTTTTCCTAAGACTTATAACCAGTCTTCTTTATGGATTGTTATTAGTACAACTTCTTAGGTCAGATGCTCATCTTACACATATATGTTTATATAAATGCCATTGTGCAACTGCCCCCTCTCCCCCAAGGCTAGCTGTTCTTTATTTTAATAACTTATTCAAAAAAGTCTTTTTTAAATGCAATGTTACTCTTGTGTCTAGATTAAGTAAGCTTTTAAGCATACTGAACACTCTTCCTGAAAAAGGATGAACTCCTGAATTAGCGCCATGAAATTTTATCATGCCAGTTCCAATTTTATACATTGTTAAAAGTACAGTCCCAATTACAAAAATATAAAACTGACCAGACCTGAAAGGAAAATGATTGAAAATGCAATACAAAATGAAAACTTCTGAGAGACTGTGATATGGGGGGAGCTGCTGCTGGCAAGGACTGGTAAACAAGGGAGATGCTCTTGGCTAGCAGACTAGCACTCAGAAGACAAGGGCCCAAGGGAAGTGGCCAAGAGAAATAGTTAGAAGGACATGGTTGCCACTTAAAGAGCCCCTGGCTTGGGATTGGAGCAGTGGGGGGAAGACTTGGACCCAACCAACCAACCACTGGAGAAGTGGTTATGCCTTGAGAAAAAGGAGGTTAGATAGTCTCAGAGAATCTCTGTATACGGAACTGTTACTTTTGCCCTCCCCCACAAAGAGGGCTAAACTGAGTCTGACCTAGCTGGAGTCAGAGGACTAATAGACAGGTTAAAAGTCTCCAGGGAGGAAGCCTGGGGGCATGACTACATCCCAGAACAGGAACCTTCACAGATAAGCTCATCAGCTATGGTACAGAAATAGGCCTTTTTGGTCAGGCGGAACACTGAACCCAGGGAGAGCTACAAGAAGATATCCGAATTGAGAAGGTACTGCGATAGACCCCTTGGACTAATTAAGAGCCCATGCAAGTTGATGCCAGTGAAGAGGGTCCTATTGGACTGTTAAAAGATTGAGCCCAGGGACAGCTGCGAGACACTCTGGACTGTGTACCCAGGAAGGGAAGGGTTTGTTTTGCATACTGACTGTGGCTCAGCTAGAGTGGTGAGTCACTGCGGACCTGCCTGAAAAGCACAGCAGCTGACAGGAGGCACTGTGAGCAGAGAAACTGATAAAAAACTGAAAGCTCGCATGCACATGCACACAACTACAGAGACAAATGCATTTTAGCTGCAGTTTCACAGCGTTACTTTAGCTCAGTGGTGGGGAACTTTTTTTCAAGGGAGTGGCCACTGACACAGGGGGAAAAAAATAAAATCAATCAATCCAGGGCCATACACAAGTGATAAGCAAAAAACAACCCCCTCCCCCCCACAAAAGAACAAACAAACCTACTGACCTGGCTCTCAACAAGCTTGGGTCTTCCCCTAGTAGCAGAGCAAACCTGAATTCATGCTCCAGCTCCGCAGGGAATAGGAAAACAGGAGAGGGGGAGGGGGAAGACACTGAGGCCCTGGTTACAAATTCATGCCCCATAAATTTTACAATCAATTGAACTTTCTCTGGACAGAGGAGAATGACCTCCCCATGGAATAACCCCACTCTACTATGGTGAGGCTTGTTGTCTTGTGTTTAAAACTGAGCTTTCATGCATAATTTTGATATGCCACCTACTCTCCTCTGAACAGAGTTCAGTGACACTGACTGTTAACAGACGCGGATTATGAAAGATTTCATTTACACCTAGTTTTATCTTTAATAGGTTAATATTGCTAGATAAGCTATTGGCAACCTTCGGCATGGCAGCCCATCAGGGTAATCCACTGGTGGGATGTGAAACACTGTTTGCCTGCAGATGGTCAATGTAAACAAAATGTCTTGTGATTACCATGATGGGTTGCAGGTTGAAGGTTGCCAACCCTGCTGCTAAACCAAGATATGAATCATTTTTTCATATCATGCTACTTTATCTTGGAAAGTTCTGTCTCGCTGAGTTTCAAAACAATGTCAAGATAGAGTGATGTGTCTGAAAGGTTATAGTTTAAATAAAAATGGGAGGGGGAGCTTACCTTCAGTCAGGGGAGTAACTCATTTCCTGAGGACACCAAAGCATGCTTTACTTCTCAAATTAAGATGTGAGCCCTGTCCCAAACAATGCGAAGCCCAATTTTAACAACTGAGACATCACAATAGGAGGGAAGTGGGAAGGACAAAGGAAGAATGGTGAAAATAAAAATCTTGTGGTAACTCATAAATGGATGTTCGTGAGGGATTTAAAAAAATTTAGTATTTATTTTAACATTTTCCCTCCCCCGCAAGTTTCCATAGGCCAGTCAGAAGAAGAGAGTTTTTAATAGTATTTGAACAAATAAAGGAACAAATGAATCTGGGTAAAAGCATACCAGGGCATTCCAAGCACCAAAGAAGATTCAGAGCCCTTTGAAAATGAAACATAAAAGGCAAAGCAAGGCTGACCCCAACACTGCCTGGCCTAGAGCCCCCTCCCCGAGCCAGCGTCCTCCCTTATCCACCTCCTCCTGCATCCAGATTTCCTCCCAGAGCTTGCACCTCTCACCCCTTCCCACTCCCAAATCCCTCATTCCCTCCCCAGAGCCTACACATCCTGTCTCAACCAAGCAAGTGTACAGCTAGACTGCAGGAGTTTTTCATGATTCCGGAGATATCCCAGAAAAACTCTTCTGCATCCAGGGATGCGTTTGTTCTTCTGCTTCTTTTAGTGGAAGAGCAAACATGATCTTTTGGTCACCCGTATATTCCTCTTTCCATGAGGAATAAGGGGGCTTCCGAAAGAAGGGTTTTTTCTGACATTTGGTCCAGTCTAGACAGGCCAAATGTTGGAAAAACCTCTTCCTACAGAAGAATTGGGGAAAAAAACAGCAGTATAAGGGTTGGGGATAGCAAGTGATGGAGAGGAAGAAAACAGACAGGGCGGGGCTTCAGAGCTTGGCTTGTTCTGTCATTTAAAAAATGATCTTGGGTGTAAAACGGTTGGAGACAACTGATCTACAGACCTGTCTGTAGCAAAGTCAGTGCCATAGCCTTGTCTGAAATAAACATTCTTGTTGAAAAATACAGCATTAATCAGTTAATGCTCAATACATGTACACCTGCGTCAAAACATTAAAAGATGTTTCTCAAATCCATTTTTCTGAATACTTAAATGGGATATGTGTACAAGAATATGTTTGTATTATACACAAAAAAGCAAAACAGGCTAATTTTATAGAACTTAGACACTGAAAGAGTTCATAGATATATTTATTATGTTTGTCTCTGAAATAATTTGTTACACCAGTGCCTGACAAAATGGCTGATCCTCAAATACTTTGTAAAATGTTTCTTGTTCTTCTAAGTCAGGCCACAGAGTAGCTACAATACAAAACTAAAATTAAGAAGATGCAATTAGGATTTACTGCAGAGATACAATATTACATTTTAAATACATCAATCAAGTGAAATTTATATAACACTTCAAAGAAGGAGCTAAATATTATTTCTTTACAGAAATAAAATGGCGTGGCACTAATGAAACTTCTCCAAAAATGCCTTACAGCATCTAAGACACTGCTCATAGACAGTTTCAAAGTCTTTTTCATTTCCCTGGAAAAAGATAAGAAAAAAGTGTAAAACTATCTAGCCACCCAAATATAAGTCTTCAACAGCTACTTTTAACATTGAGTTTGTTAGGTTTTACAATCATACATACATACAAATAGTTAGAAGTTCTTGGGTCAATCTGTGATACTTACATAGTATGGATCTTCAATAATAAGCTGTTTCTGTGGATCATAGGCCCCAAGGAGTTCAATTTTAGCTGTACAGTTTTTAACTTGATTACTTTTTCTTTTCAGATCTCTAAACACAAAAAAAACCACAATTCTGAATAATTATTTTCATGGCAAGGGTGATGTCTGCTCTATTTGGAACTAATTATAAATTCAATAATTACTAGAAAGTTTACAGGATATGAATGAAGATGAAATAGAGCTGGCTATACTTTCATTGTGTGGCTTACTCTATGTTGTTGCTTACCTTTTATTAAATATCAAAGACTTCTACATAAAGTGAAGACTAAAGGAAAAACAAATCAAGGGATTTGGTGCTGAACTATGACCTTAATTTCATCAAAGCATAGAATACTAGAACTGGAAGGCATCTCAAGAGCTCATCAAGTCCAGTCCCGGGCCCTCACAGCAGGACCAAGTTTTTGGCTTTAGACACTTTAAAAAAAAAAAAAAAAAAAAAAAGGAGTTTACAATTTTTTTCACCAGTAATTTTACTTAGTATTTTCGATATCTCCCTTTAGTTTTCATTATACAAATGTTTCTGGAACACAGTCAATATATTTCTTAAAAGTATGAATAACACTGTTTTAATTGTTCTGTTTTTGTAAGTTCTCTTATCTCTGCCTTCAATTAATTTAACAAGTTCTGCTGTATTCATATATTGACT